CTCTCAACCACTGCGCCACCAGGGAAGCCCTCCCTTTCCTAAACATTTTAACTTGCACATCTATAGAGGACTTAAGAAGTTACATAGTACAGTTACGGGGTTTACAATGCATGGAAAATTCTACAGGTGATTTTCCCATGTTTTTAAAAGTCCTTCTATAAACAAATTTGATTTTAAAAAATCCTTTCTAACCCTCCCTCTTTCAGGAATCACTGAGCTCCTTCCTGCGCCTTTGGAGAGGGCTGTTCCTTCTGTTTCACCCCCTACTTCGTTCCTGTAGTTCAAGTGCTCCAATCAGTCAATCAATCAAGTGAACAATCAAGTGGTCTCCTAACTGGTTTCTCTACCTGGAGTCTCTCTCTTCTTTCAGTTAATTCCACCTTCCCGTCAGGTGCATTTTCCCCAAAACACAGCTTCATGATGTCACCACGGCTCAGCAACTTTTGCGGCTCTTTGCTTTTCCGAGCAAGTTACACTAGTTATTCAACATATTCTATAAACCAAATTCAGTCGACATTTTCAGTTTTTCAAATTATCGTTTTCCTATTTTTGACTAATTTCCTTCAGTCACACTGGGCCACTCCTGTCCTCTGGCTCCGCTATTCCCTCCCCTTCCTCCCCCTTTCCACATGCTAATCTCTCTCCCTCTTCGGTGCTATTCCCAGGCATTCTGGTCCCAAGTAAAACCTCACCCTCTTCTCTCTAAGACGATTACAGTCCTAAGGAATCATTCCTTCTTTGGATTTCTTTAAGCTCAAGGAAACAGTCTTGTGTGGAAAGAACCCCTAAAGTTCTTCTCTGGGTACCGAGCATTAAAAAAAAGAAGGCCTGAATAAGTTCATGGCAGACTAATAATATAATGATAAGTATAACTTCAGTGTAAATTTGTTGATTGAGAAATTGTGATTACTCTATGAGAAGGGATAAGTTAGCTGACGACTTGTAACAACACTTGCAACACAGATATTCACCCAAAGCATCTTCCATCCCAGGCAGATACTTATTGCAGTTTCAGACTTTCTTCTACCACCATTAATAAAAGGACCCACTCACTGTTGGGTGCCTTTTCCTTTTAAGTTTTTTTCCCAGCTGGTGTACATTCTGCATGATGGAAACACTCTGAAGGGCCTCTGAATTTTTTTTTCTTTTTTTCTTTTTTCAGCCACTCTGCCTGGCCTGCGGGATCTTAGTTCCCCGACCAGGGATCCAACCCGCGCCCCCTGCATGGGAAGCACGGAGTCTTAACCATTGGGCCACCAGGGAAATCCCTGAAATTTATTTTTAAAGTTCTCTCAAACTCTTAATGGATAGCCTTTTCTGAAAGGCTGAAGAAGGGATGAGCAGAGCAGGCCATATGAATGCCTTTATCCTTTTAAGGAAAAGGAAATTCCAAAGGTTAAGTGAAATTTTTTTCATCCTCCACTCTCAGGTGTGTAGCACTCACCAACTCCGTCTAGCCTGGACTCCCGTGGAACACTGAAGCCCTTCTGCTTCTACAGAGAGAATGTCCCCTCACTCGACATCACTCATCCAGTTCCCAACCAACAGCTGGTTCATCGTCCTTCCATGTGACCAGGTGGGCTTCTATTTACCCTTTCCTTCTGCCATGTCCGCCTGTTCCCAAACTTAACTGAAGAGGTCTTTCTGATTTCTATCTAAGAGAAAGAGGAGCCTGCACTCACTCCATCACCAAATACTTATTCTGACCTGTTGCAGACTAGGTACCATGCACAATGCTGGGATAGAATGGTCCCTGCCGCCATCACACTGACATCCTGGTGGGGGAAATAGGCAAATAAAATAAATAAGCCCCAAATAAACACCAGAAATTATGGAAAAGGCTTCAGTGGAAACAGGGTGGGTATAGAGACTTAATGGAGAATGTGGGGCAGGGGGACGGCTAGAGGGGAAGAGCTTGTGCTCATTTCAGACCGAGAGTCAGGGAAGGCCTCCCTTACACGGGAGCCTTTAGGCTGAAATCTGAGGGATAGGAGGAAAGTGGATTCCAGGTGGAGGCCACGGCTTGTCCGAGGTCTTGGCAGGAAGGAGCTTAGCCAGCGTGCTTACTGCACTGCGAGGTGGAGGTGAACGCTGTACCATGATGCTGGGAGGGAGACAGGGCCAGATCACGCGGGTCTTTGAGACTGTGATAAGGAGGTCGGACTGTAATCTCAGAGCACTGGGTTGCCAGGTAAAATACAGAACATCCAGATACATCTGAATTTCAGATAAAGAAAAACTTTTTAGTTTACGTGTGTTCCAAATATTGCATGGGACATACTTATGCTGAAAATTTATTCATTGCTTATTTGAAATTCAAATTTAACTTGGCATCCTGTTTTTGGTTTTTTTTTTTTTTTTTTTTTTTTTTTACTAAGTCTGACAACCCTAATTGACAGGCTGGTGAAAGGTTTTCAGTAGGCAAGTGATGTGATCCAATTTGTATTTTAAGAAGATCCCTTTGACTGCTTCTTGGAGAATGGTTTGCAGGGTGGCATAGTTAAGTGAAGGTAAGTTCAGGGAGACTGGTTAGGTTTTCACAGCAGCTCAGAAGAGGGACAGAGCTAGTCTCGCCCTAGAGACTAGTCTTCTCAAACTTTAATGTGGATAGGAATCATGTCTGGTATCTTGTTAAAATGAAGATTTAATTCAGTAGATCTGGGGTGGGATCTGAGATACTACATTTCTAATAAGCCTCCAGGTGGCGCTGACCTTGCTGGTTTCTAGACCAAGGGTCAGCAAACTATGGCCCATTGGCCAAATCTGGCCTGCCGCCTGTTTTTGTAAATAAAGTTTTATTGAAACACAGCCATGTCCATTGGTTTCCATTTCATCTATGGCAGCTTTCTGCTTTCATGCTATGATGGCAGAGTGAAGTCGATGAACAGAAGACTATATGGGCCACAAAACCGAAAAATATTTACTATTTGGCCCTTACCTGGAAAGTTTATCTGATGCCTGCCCTAGACCACACTTTGAGTAGCAAGGTCTACATTTGGATGGTTACCATGGAGATGGAGAGACATAGGCAGATTCAAGATATATTTGAAAGCACAGAGTGTGGTCTACATTGGTTCATTAAACATTCCCTTCTGACATGAGCCTAGGGACCCTGAGCTGCATGTCGAGACAGCTGAGAACCTGGTTATCAGTGGTGATTCATCTTGAAAAACATTTACCCAAGAAGCCCAAGGTGTTCTACCCAGCACACCTCTGAATGTATATAGAGATGCGTCCACGCACACACGGAGAGCGGAAAGACACCACATAACAGCACCTGGTAACCTGGACGAATCAATTGTCATGCTAGCAAAAAACTGAAGCCCACTCCTGTTTGGACTTACTGCTGGCTGGTTTCCATTTTTCCTACCTCAACTTCCATGATCTCTACTTTCTCATGATGGGGGTGGTCTTTGCAGTAATTGTAGGTGAGGAAACTGAGGCACAGCCTTGTTACCTCCTCTGCTCACTCCACCCCCAGTAAGAAACGACCCTTTCCTCAATCTCCTCTCTGTCTCTTTTAAAAAAATTATAACCTTTATCCTATGTCTTAAAGGAAGGGATTATCCAGTGCTCACTTAAGGGGAAAATCACTTTAAAACAAAATAGAAGATGATTTTAGAAGGCAGGAGAGAAAGACTACACTTTTTCTGTGCACAGTTTTTCTTGGCATTCCTTTGGGATTCTTAGAGTTGCCACATTGACATCTTCCATGGTAAATGCACAAGGTACGATAATTCTCTTGTGTAATAAACTTACAAGGCAGTGTCATACAACAAAGTACTAAAATGACTTATCATTTAAAGACCACTCCAGGGTTGTTAGAAGTTATGAATTTCTGGAAATTGCTTTGAGTATTTTATCTTTCTAGGATAAAATACTCAAGTATCAAATAATATTTTATGCACTGATGTAGTAACATTAAATGGTGGCCATGTGATACATACATTAACACCAACAAGTTAATTCCAATTTCTGCGGGGCACAATTTCGTACTAGATAGCAATTTAACACTCAGATGCTATGCTATCTTCCGAGGAGAGGGAAGTAAGCGGTTCTGTAGTTTGTCCTTGTGGCTCTGCAGTGTTCCTAGTGTCATTATACCTTTTTTTAAAATTAAATGTGGCTGCTCTTTCTTTCCCCATGTGGGCATTGCAAAACAATAACAACCGCAAATATGAGAGATTAAGCTTGTATAATAGACTGATCCGTTTTACTTAGAAAGCTGAAGTTGCTCAGGGATAATGAATACAAGATACGTCAGCAGAGGTGAACAAAAACAAATTCTGTGTCGCTTTCATTCACGGCAAAACTTGCATTTCAGATCACATTTGCACAAAGACCATCTGCTTGATGAAACAACTCTTCCTTCCCAAATGCGTGGATTTATGTCAGAATCCAAACAGTTTTTCACTTTATCATTAAGCACTGGCAGGTTTGGAACTCCAAATTAACATCGGAGGTGTCTGCCTCATAATCTCCTGGGCTACATTCTTTTTAATGGGGGGAAAAAAGGCAAAGTGCTGAAAAATGAAAAAATCTCCAGATATCCTTTTTTTATTCCCTGCCTAAATTTTAAACATTTCAACAAACCTGTTTTAATGTCTTACTGAAGTGCTGAGGCACAGATGAGAGGAGAAAAGCAGACAAATAAAGGAAAAGTCTTCCCTTTCAGAAGGTACCTGAAAGGGTGAGTAGGAAAAGAAAGGGAAAGAGAAGAAGGAATGCTAAGGGGTTTTGTAATGTGAGGTTGTCTGAAACAAAATGCAAGGAAGCTTGGAGACGAAAGATTCGGTTCGCATCAGGTCTTGGAAGCATGATATAAGGAGTGTTTTATAAAAGAAGAAATCATTAAAAGGATTCACACATCCATTTGCATGAATTAGCAAACCTGGGAGAGTGCCTAAAATGGACTACAGTGCTGACCTGAAATGAAGGTCACTGATTTCCCCGCAACCTCAATGCCTCAGTGTACACAGAGCATAGTTACATGAACGAACCTTTCCAGCCAGTGTTGAGAGATCATCACCTCCAATTATCTGCATCTCGCCCATGGACTGGTCATTCTAAAAGAAAAAGGGGAGACAACATTTTACTGTACAAGAAAACCTTTAAAGCACGTTTCCCTGTCTACCCGGCCAGTGGCGAGACTGCGCCTTACAAATATAGCACAAATAGCTGGTACAGATTCATGGTTGCCTATGGTTACCAAGAGCCACTCTCCTGCCACTGTGCTTGAGACAAAGCACTCTAATGGCTGGCGGGCGAGTCTGTGTGGAGAGGGCATGGAAGGAGTAGAGAGAGGACAAGCAAACCTAATTTTGGGACAAAAAGACCATGGAAGGTGCCTGAACCTATTCTGAGACAGATGGAACTGGAGGAGACAGTCATGCTCCTGGACTTCCCTGGGGTGAGGGGGTGGCTACGGGAGCCCCAGGAGGGGCCTAGCATTTGTCAGCTGTGCCAACGGGCCTCAGTTACAGCCCTGCAGTGGGGAACAATTAGACTGGCTCCCAGAGAGGTTAGAGACCCCCTCTACTCCCTACCAGCGCTGGTCCAATCCCTCATCTGGTGTTGAGGGCAGTTCTAACAGGCCAAGGCTCAAGAACTATTACAGTCAGACCTTCAGACGTGGATAATGAAGCCTTAGGAACTTCCTGCAGTTCCAGGAATATGAGACCCAGAACCCCATTCAGAAAACGTTATCACAGTACCTTGTAATAACATATAATGGAAAAGAATCTGAAAAAGAATATATATATCTGAATCACTGCTGTACACCAGAAACTAACACAACATTGTAAATCAACTATACTACAATTTAAAAAAAAAGACTTTTCACTCAAATCCTATTAGGGGTTATGAGCATTCCTTTTCACAATATTTATACACAGGACACTATCCTGTCCCAATTAAACCTCACACACACACACACACAGACACACACACACACACACAATGAACAAAATATGGATTGTTCCTTAGTATAAATATCACAATAGAATAACATGGGGGCAGAACGGGAAACAGAGAGCAGGCAGCTTGTTTTCTGGCCTCCTTGCAAAGAGGCATTAAAGGAACCAAAGCAGATATCCTACAGGCAATTGGTTTCATGACCAAGCAAGACTGCTGTGATGTTGCAGTCCCTTCATCCAAACAATAACCTAAGTGAGAAGACACCAATAGAGGGACCAGACGTACACTGTGCTGAACCAGGAAACATCTCCGGTTACTGCTGCGGACAGCTGTTGCTTTGGCTAGTTCACTGCTTTTCTCCTTTATTCTGGCAATAAGGTCCTGCTTCTTTCCCGGGAGAGTTCATTCCATTTGGATCAGGTGGAGCCAGGCCTTACCTGTATAAATCAGCTATGCCTGAAGCTATAACCAACCTTGAACTTTCCAGCTACTTAAGCCAATTCATTCCCTTAAAGAAATTTTCCCTTGGGTTGGTCTGAATTGGATTCTGTCACTTGCAACTGAGAGTCTAGACCTAGAGTTACTTTGTCATAGCACTGGTCATCCGGAAAGGGAAACAAAAAAAGGCCAACCAACCAATATAACAGTTTTACCAATGAAGCAGCCTTTTATTTTTTTACCTTACTGCTCAAGAGAGAAAAAAAAAGACCTTAAAACGTTCTTACTTCCACTTTGAAAGCATTCATTCCTTACTGCAAAGGAGTGGAGACAATGGTTGAAGTGGCCCATAAGTTAGATAAAACCAATAATTTTCTTCTTATGGGAACTGATCTTAAAAGGAGAAAATCAAAGGCTAACCAGAATTCGCTGATCTTTCCTGTTTTTGTCCAGGCTTATGTAATCATATATTCACATGCAGTCATGTCAGCAGGTTGAGAACTTGTCAAAAATGTCAAAGGAGAAAATTTTCTTGTCACTTCTAGAGGTGCTGAGATAAGAGGAGTTAATATAGGGAGAATTTCTGTGTATTAGACTCACACATGGTAATAGCAGCAAGAAAAGTAAAATTTCAGTGTCTCCAGAGGACTAAGGTATGCAGAATTGGATGGAACAACTAAACCACAAAGTTTGATGTAAAAAAATGAGACTTATACTCTGCTAGATCAGAGTAAATTTCACAATAATTCTACTATTATCATCTCTATTCAGAAACAAAAACACAACACATCAGAAAGCTGAATACAATGCTCTAAGTCACACATTTAGTGTGTTTTCAAGCAAGTCTTATTTCAGAAGGCCTCACTTAGTCCAAGCTTATAACATATTTTTAATATTAGATTTGCCCTTAATTCATCTGGAATTTATATCTTCCAAGTGTGTATATGGTCAATTGTCCTAATACCATTTATTGAATTGTTTATTTTTTTCCCTACTGGTTTGAAATGTCATTTTTATCATATCCTTCATTCTAATATGCAAGGATCAATTTCTATATACTTCTGTTTCATTAACCAAAAATGTCTATTTCAGCATCAAAACCATACTGTTAAATTATTATAGCTTTTTAGTATGTTTTAGTGTCTGGCAGAGCAAGTCCCAATTTTTTGTTCTTCTAAAAAATTGTCTTGGCTACTTTTGCACATTTATTCTCCTATCTGGTGGGTTGTTAAGAAGATCAAATGAATTAATACACACAGAACATTTAGAACAGAGCCTGGCATATGGTAAGCACTCAGTAGATGCTAGCTGTGACTGATTTCTTCCCTTTCCTCCCTCCCTCCCTCCCTTTCTTTCTTCCTTCCCTCCCTCCCTGGAAACAATCACCCCTCAATCCTCCCTAGTACACTGGAGTCTGGAGCTCCCTGGTTTAATGACTCTGGAAAATATGTCTGGGATGGAGAAGGGCAATTAGAGGTCTAACTTCTCCATTCATATGCTTCCCATTGCCTTGCTGCATCCAGACCATTCCTCACTCTACCTTCTAAGAACCTGGTGACAAACTAGTAAGCCTTTCAGGAATCCTGTGGCCTGATGACTCCTCTCTACTCTTTGAAATCAGCCTCCATAGACATTTAGATTTTCAGTTTCTCTATTTTGCTGAGTCAATGCCCTTCCTTAATCAGTTTTATCATCTAAAAAACAACACTGACATCTCTTGCCCACTGAGGTCTTCTCCCTTTCCTCTCGTCCTTGTGGGTATATATATATCTTGTTTATTTCTTTACTGCCGTTTCGCTGGGGTTTCAGGAAAAAAAGGAATTAACTGAATGCATTCAATTCACTGTGTTTAACCATAACATTTTTCTAGTGGTTCAAAAACATCCTTATATTCCTAGGATTGATTTTTTTTTTTTTTACACCACTGGTTTTGATTTGAAACTATTTTCTTTGGGATTGTTCATCTGATCTTCATAAGTAAGAATGACCTATAATTTTCCTTTCTTTTGCTACCTTTGTGGATTTTTAAACCCAGTTATACAAGCCTCATATGAGTTGGGTGATTCTTTGTCTTTTTTTCTATATGCTAGAAAGGTCTGTATATGGGTGAATGTATCTATTTTGCTAAGGTTCAGTAGAGCTCAGAATAGGTATTATTTAATCCCCAATTTACAAACAAGGAACTGGACGCAGCAAGAGTCTGAGTAACTTGCCCAAAGAGGTACTACTGGTAAGTGAAGGAATCCAGTTCAATTCTAGAATTGCCTGAATTGACATTATTCTTGTGTTAATCACCGCCCCCCCCCCCCCCCCCCCCCCCCCGTCCTCCACAATATTCCTAGAAGGTAGAAGTAATAGTACATCTCTGAGAGTAACATGGAGAAGAAATTGGGTCCTGGTTATACTAATGTAGTAAAATATATAAGCTGAAATGGCTAGGAGAAATCTACATCTTGAAAGAAATATTGGTAGCTGTTGTGTGGATTTATTTAAACAGCAAAGGAAGTCTCTGACGTATAGTTCAGGCATCCTCAGAAAGAAATATATTGGAAATTTCTAGTTTAGGTGACCTGATCTCCAGGTGCAAAAAAGAGCTCAGCAGGTATGCTGACTACTCAAACAAGAGAATGTGGACTGTTTAGATAATGTTTAGGAAAAAACATAACCGAGGAAGAATAAATATCCTGAATTCCTTTTGAGGAACCGGAAGGGGAAAAGTAAAGAAAACAAATAAACAAAAGAACCACTCTCTCAGCCATTCATTTTCAAAGTCAGAGCAACTTGCTTCATTCAGAATCTATACACGCAAAGGCTTTTCAACATGCTCCGCCCCCACAGATGCCTTAACTTCGCTTTTTCCCTCTTCTTTTCAGCCTTATCCTCCCTCTCAGCTCTTCTCCTGTGCTCAGTAAGGTCGTCAGTACTATATCAAATGGATAGAGAGGCAAACCCCAAACCATTATAAGAAGCTTTAATGATGAAACCGGAGAGCTTCTAATGAAAATGTTGCAAACTGTTGAAAAATTTTTCAAAAATTCTAACATTGATACCAAGTCAGATAACAAGGACAGGTGAATCAGTTCCAGTGTTTTCTTTTTAACCAGCTGTTGATGTAGGGTGTGGGTCCCCGAGTCCTTTAAGCAGCCTGGGGTCAAAGTAGAGGTCACAGGGCAGTCAGAGCTGGTGGCTTGTGTGCCTGTCCCTTGCTTCACCCAGAGCAGCTCCTCTTATCTCTGTTATATTAACGGGTTCAAGGTAAGATGATGGCAGCCAAAAAGTTTGAAAACCCTCATGTCAATATTTTCTTCCTTTGAAATGGACTTGCCTTCTTTTCAGTTCTTGTTCATTTAAATATCCATTTGTTTCTGGGATCATTTTTGTTTAGAAACTCATTCTTACAACCTATGTGGGTGAATTGTGAGAAAGGAACATGGTGACTGGTGAACAGGCAGCTGGTGTCCCCAAGTCCCCTGGGGACCAGACTTCCTGGGTTCCAGTCCCAGCCCCACCTTCTCCTAGTTGTATGACCTTGAGGAAGCTACTTAACCTCTCAGTGCTCCACTGTCCCTGTCTATAAAAAGAGTATGTCAATAGTTCCCACCTCCTAGGGTTACTGGGAGGAGTAAATGAATTAATACGAATTCAGCACTTAGAAAAGTGCCTGGCATGTAATAAGCAGTTCCTAAAGTAAGCCTTGTCTTCTCATCATCTA